TGCTCGGTGAAATAAACCGGACACAAAAGGACAGATACTGTATGGTCCCACTTCCGTGACATGTCTACAACAGGCAAGTCCATGGAGACAGAAAGTAGATTGGAGGTTACCAGGGGCTGGAGGAGAAGGGAAAGGGAAGTTATTGCTCAATGGGTTCAGAGTTTCTGTTTGACGTAATGAAAGAGTTTCCAAAACAGATAGTGGTGCCCAACATGGTAGACAGAATTGATGCCCCTGAATTGTACACTGAAAAATGGTTGAAACTGCAAATTATATATGTAATTGATTATAATGACACACACACAGAGCACACAGGCTCCCACATGTTGAGTTCCTGGAGGAGCAAACAGGACCAGAGGACAAAGGCCTGGGAAGTCCAGGGGAGCGGCACTGGTCGGTCACAGGTGTATAGATATTTAGCTTCATAAGAAACTGCCCGTGCCATCTGCACTCCACGGGCACTGGGTGAGGGTCCCAGCCTCGCCGCAGCCCTGCCACCATTTGGTGTCCTCCGTCTCCCTAATGCCAGCCCTTCTGGTGGGTATGTGGTGGCAGGCCATCATGGTTTTAGTTTGCATTTCCTTCTGACTAATGATGTTCACTTGATTATTGCTCATCTGTATCGTTCTTTGTGAAATGTTTGCTCAGGCCTCTCCCATAAGTCCCTAACTCGTTTATTGGGCTGTTCAATTTTTATTGTTCAGCTTAACATCCGGATTTGAGGTTCCCAGATGTAGTCATCATCGGTTCTGGTGGGACCAGCAGTCGTGGGGAAAGCCGTGGTCTGGTCTGCGGTTGACAGGCACGCCAGCCACTCCTCCGCGACGCAGATGCACCCACTCTCCCCTCCGGCACACGGGGGCCACGGAAGACCAGCCGCCCTCAGACTCAGCAGGAAATACTTTCTCAGGGAAACTCAGAGATGGGTGACGGGCGAGGCAGAGGGTCTGGTCAGAGAGAACCAAACGCTGAACGCCAGAAAGCTGGCAGCCTGGAGACCGCCCGGCAGACTTGGGAGCCTCTGCCTGTGAGTGGACAGGGATGCTTTGTAGCCTCTTTGTGTTTAGCTCTGCTGAGGAGAGCAACAGAAGAAAGTTGAAACGCGTCGGAAATCAGCTCTTGAAAGTTACTGGACGGTAAATCCTCTCTTTCTTTTTCTTTTTTTCCCTCGGTTAGTTCACTAGTGTTTGAGTCATTTGCTGAGTTAATCTGAAAGGACGAGAAAAGGAACTGGGTCAGAAGTGCCTCTGTCTTTGGCCCCTGCGGGCGGTCGGAACTTCCTCCAGAACCCTCCAGCAGTGGCTGGCGTTTCACGATTTCCTCAAACTCAAAGCCCCAATGTTTAAAAAAACAAGTAAATAAGAATGATGGACACTATGTCCACACAAAAACCTACACATGGATATTTATAGCAGCTTTATTTAATTGCTAAACTGCGGAAGCAACCAAGACGTGCTTCAATAGGTGAGCAAATGAACAAACTGTGTGATACATCCGAGCAGCGCACCACTGTGAAGAGAAATGAGCTTTCAAGGCACGAAAAGATAGGGAGGAACCTTTAATGCACATCACTAAGGGAAAGAGAGTCAGCTCCAACAGGGAAGAAGTTCTACTTTGTTCACTGCTCTATCCCCAGCATCTAAACCAGCGTCTGGCCATGCAGTTCCTCAATAAATAAATAAATAAATAAATAAATAACCAAATAAATAGCCAAATAGATAAATTATTTATTTATTTATTCGATTTTTTGGATTTTACTTATTTATCTTGAGAGAGAAGGGAAGGGAAAAAAACATCGACGTGTGAGATACATATATTGGTTGCCTCTCGCATGCCCCCAACTGGGGACCTGGCCTGTAACCCAGGCATGTGCCCTGGCTGGGAATCGAACCAGTGACCTTCTGGTTCGCAGGCTGGCACTCAATCCACTGAGCCACGCCAGGCAGGGCTCAATAAATATTTAATGAGGGAAAAGAAGTGATGGGAATCATAGTTCCTTCCTCGCGGCCCAAGTCATTGGAAAGGAGAAACAGGGAAGCTCGGATGATCAGCTGAGAGGTGGATCCCCAATTCAGTGTCTGTCCAAATGGGGGCCACCAACCAAAATGCTTATTCCCAGGCCATGACCTGCATTTCTAAATGAACGTCCCAAATGATTCTTGTTTCAGCCGAAGTTGAAGCCCTTGCAATGCTTACTAAAAATGTAGATTTTGTTTGTACTTGTGGTGGCCCAGAGGCAGCGAGGCATGGGCACCCTGGAGCTCAGCGCTGCACCCCCCTGCGCCACGCCCCCCCCCCCCCCCGTCTTTACAGATGGAGAAACTGCAGCACAAAGAAACAATGCCTTGCCGAAGAGCCACAGCAAGTCACCTCCTGGCTCTCAGGCCTCTTCTGGGTGGCATGGCGGACCACCCACTCAGGCAGGAAGAGCTTCTTCGCCTCTGCTGGAGGGTCATTGCCTGCGGCAGCTGATGAAGGCCAACTCCTTGTGCCAGGCCACAGAGGTAGCACTTACTCCCTCCCAGGACAAGGCAGGAGGCGGGGAAAGTCCAAAGGTGCTTTTAATAGCTCTGTTTAGGGTAAATGTTGATGAGGTCACAGAAGGATTCACTTCCCTAACCTGACGGGAACCGTTAGTTTCCTGTTTCTCTCTTCACATGATATGATTTGCTTAGAACATTTAACTTAAAATTAAATGACCAGATTTCAACTATGCAAAAACTAGAACCAGGTGTAAGACCAGGAAACTGGCGCCTGCCATCAATCTCTCTGCTTAGCTACCAGTTTGCCATTTGACCTTGGGAGACATTGGACACGCCGCCTAGTCCCTCTGGGCCCTGGCCTGGTCCTGAGTCTTTGCAGCTCTGAGACCTGTGGTCCTCTGAGTCTGGCTCAGTCTACCATTAGCCTGCAGCCAAAAGTCCTGCTGGCTCTTCCACTGGATGACCGTTGGAAGGCCACTGTGGCTCAGTTGGTTGCAGTGCCATTCCATAAACCAAAAGGTCGTGGGTTTGATTCCAGGTCAGGGCACATGCCTAGGTTGTGAGTTTGGTTCCCCATTGAGGTGTATGTGAGAGGCAACTGATCAATGTTTCTCTCTCATATTGATGTTTCTCTCCCTCTCTTTCTCCCTCCTTTCCCCTCTCTCTAAAATAAATAAATAAAATCTTTTTTAAAAAAGTGTATAACAAAATAAACCTCATTGATTAATAACCTTTGGACATACTAAGGAACCAATTATTTTGAAAACTGCTAAAGGTTAAGAATTACACATCTATCATACCTTACTTATATGAAATGTACGTCATGTAATCAATTAGCCAACAAAGGGATGTTCCTCTTCATAGGTATTCCAGCTAATAAAGCTGAAATGGTATCATCATTTACAATGCCTCATCAATGCAATGACCATCAGTGCTGAAAACATCACAAGATGAGAAACACGCAGGTGTTATGATCCACCTCATGAAAGTATACAATACCATACAAGTAATCTTGTAAAAAAAAAAATCAAACCTGATCTAATTAAACTTTTTAAATGTAACTACCAATATGCAGAGAACATAGGAGGGCAGAGGAAGATATTAAAACAATGCCGTGGGGATGCCACCCACAAGATCTGGACTGAGGAAAACTCTAGAGGACAAACTACCTGGTTTCTTAAAAAACAGAACAAGGAGAGGAAGGAAAAGAAAGAAAAACCGAAACGGAAATGAAAGAAAGTGCAAGTGAAAAAGAGGAAGAGGGAAACAATAGATTTAAAAAGACTTAAGAAATATATTAACCAGTTGCAATGTGTGATCTGGATCTCAATTCAGACAAACTTTTTTTAAATGACATTTATAGGCAAATCAGGAAAATGTAAATACTAACTTGGCATTTGGTATTAGGAAGTTATTGCTGATTTTTGGGGTATTTGATAGTTTTGGGGGAGGTTTTATAAAAGGAAATACTTGTCTTTTAAAGATACATTCTGAAATGTTTACTGGTAAAATCACTGGATGTCTGGTATTTACTTCAACATACTGTTGGAGGGGAAGGGGAAGGTAGGTACAAGTATAGAGGAAACAAGATTGACCATGAGTTGGTTAATCGTTGAGGAACGACTGTAGGTTGATACATTAGGCTATTTTCTCTACTTTTGTAAATGTATGAAATATTTTTAAGTTGTGTAATGTTTTTAAAATATGCGTCAAAATGATTGCACTAGTGTGAAAAATGCAATTTAAAAATCAGGAAGAAATACTGTCTTGTAAAACGCTGACGTTACTTGCCTGACAGCGGTAGGATGAGTCATTTCCCCCTTAATTTCTGCATCTTCTGTAATGTGTCTTTATGTTTCAACAACCGTAGGAGGATACAAAACCTCTATTTCTGCCGTCCCCTTCCTGATCTTAAAAACCCATCTATTCTTTCCCCCATATCCTCCAGGTTTTTACTAAGCTTCTCGGCATATTATCCGGGTTCGGGGACTAGAAGGGTTTTGAGGAAAGCGGGTCAAGTTTAGCACTCGCCAACCGTCAACCGCCTGCAGGGTGATCGCAACGACTTCGGAGTCCTGACTTCGGGATCAGCTTCCTTCCGTTGCAGGGGTAACATTCGCACACGCGCACTCCTCAGGACTACATTTCCCTGGAGGCTCTGCGCCTCGCAGGGGAACAGCTGCGGTAGCGAAGGACTACGTTACCCAGTGACACTTGTGGGAGGGGTTGTTCGGTAACAACTGTGCAACCATTGGTCCGGCCTTTGTCGAAAGTTGCACGATGATTGGTTCAAGGGCCCGTCAGTTACTTTCGACAGCCATTTATTTTTGCTGTTGACTGAGTGAGGCGGGCGGAGGAGAGCAGAGCTAGGGAAACCGGGCGGTGCCCTAGGAAGGGGGTGAGTGACCTCTACTTTCTCCCTCGTCGCGGTCTGTTCGGGGACCTGCACCCTCGTTCTCCGGAGGGAGCACACATGCGCAGGTACTGACGCGGGGGCGGGGACTGTACGCGCGTGTGTCTGCCTGACCTGAGAAGCCTCTTCGGGGACGCAGGATGCAAAACCCCGCACACACCTGGGGCACCTGGACACGTGGGTGTCCACCTCGCGGGGGTCTTTTCGGACTCTGGGAGCAAAAACACTCACGTGGACACCTGTGTTCACACGCAGGTACATCTGCAGAGACCTTTATTTGAACACACGCTCGGGACGGGGCACCTGCACCGCGCAGCACCTGGGGCTCCCGCAGTAAGAGAACGGGGCGGCTTCGGCAGCCTCACACACACCCCACGCGCTGCCTCTCACCCCAGCGCCCCCCTCCATTTTCTGCGTGCTGTGTTCTATATACCATACATATGATCCTATTTCATTTTTATTTTGTCCCTTTAGCTCAATGGCAAGGATTATTGGTATAAAGAAGGAAATTTGAACAACAGAAAAAGTAAAGCCACCACTGGACTTTCATGTTTTTAAGTCTTTAACCATTTTTAATAAACTTTTCACATATGGTTTTTTGCATGAGCCTGGCAGCAGTCTGGGCTAGGCAGGGTAGGCATCATTCCCGCTTTCCAGAAGAGGAAACTGAGCCCAGGTTAACGAAACCTGCCCAAGGTACATGCGAGAGGCAGAACTTGAATTCAGGCTTCTCGATCTGAGATCTAAGACTATGTCCAGCTATGCAGTCTGCTTATTTATAAAAATACCCTCTTCATTCCTCCCCTGCAGGGAACTGACCCTGCTTATTGTACCTTGAGCAGCCCCTGGGGTACCTGGGGAGAGGCTTTGCCTCTCAGCCACTTACCCGATGTTTTAAACTGCTCCTCCCAGGTGCCTGGGGAAAAGCAGCTTGAGTTAATGTCACAGTGAGTTAATGGGAAAGGCTGCTGTCCTCCTCTGAGGGAATCAAAGAAGGTACTAAAGCAGGCCCTGTTTTAGATGGCTGGGCAGGGAGCTGTTCTGAGGAGGTGATGCGTGAGCAGAGACCCTAAGAACTTGCTCTGGTATTTAATCCTGACTTTTGCATTTAGCTTGAAGCTGATGGACATTGTATGGGCCAGAGGCAGGGATGGTCGGCTATGACCCCAAGGCAGATGGCAGGAATATCTCCAATTTCGAGGTGGCAGTGGCTGGGTCTGTGTCTGGACTTGTCACTCGAGCCTTGATCAGCCCCTTGGATGTCATCAAGATCCGTTTTCAGGTACCCTTTGCCCTTTTTCTCCATGTAATGGACTAGAGGACAGGTTCTCTCTTTTCTTGCCAAAGCAGTTCCTCAGAGCTTGACATTCTGTGAAGGAGAAGCACTCTGTTGTCTTTGTTATCTTTCCTGAAATTTCTCTTTGTCACTCAGCCCTGCCCTTACTGTCCTGACCTTTTGATTTTGATTCCTAGCTTCAGATTGAGCGCCTGTCTCGCAGGGACCCCAACGCGAAGTACCATGGGATCCTGCAGGCCGCGAGGCAGATTCTGCAGGAGGAGGGCCCGGCAGCATTCTGGAAGGGACACATCCCAGCCCAGCTTCTCTCTGTAGGCTACGGAGCTGTCCAAGTAGGTGTCAGGGAACCGCCAGGCCCCGCGGTCCAGCTGCTCAGTGGAAGGAGCCCAGGGACGCTGCCTGGGGTCGGGCAGCAGGAGGCCAGCCTCACACTTCTCACAGGCCTTAGCTGGGAGCCCACCCAACAGACTGATGAGTCACACTGAGCTGTTCCACTGGCTTCCCACCCCTTGTCCCTGCCCCCGCCCCAGGGCCTGAGCACCGACTGAACAGGAGGTGCTGCCCCTGGGAGACTGTGACACCACAGCTGCAGTGGGGCTTGGCAAATGGTGGCACAATGCTTTTCACTTTCCAAAACAGCACTTTCACATGTGTGCTTCCTTTGACCTTCCCAGCAGCGCGGTGAGGAAGGTAGAGCAAGTGTTGTGTAGATCAGAGAGGTCAGGGGAGCTGCCGGGGCCCGCAGCCTGCAAGCGGTGGGTCTGGGGCCAGGATCCAAGTTCTGAACTCTTGTTTGTTCATTCTCCCACTGAGTGCTGGTTTATTTCACCGTGTATATACCACACGGCGAAGGGCCCTGTGCAGTGCTAACAGCGGATCAGGCCCCGTTCTACGCATTTTACCTCTGGTATCTCACAACAGTCCTTGGAGACAGGTTCACCCCAGTTTTACAGACGAGAAGACTGAGGCAGAGAGGGCTTGTGTAATGAACCCAACCAATGACACTGGCTAGAAAGTGGCAGAGCCAGGATTCCCTGCTGGGCAGCTGGCGCCAGAGTGGCCCGGCCTGCTCTTCCCCCGATGTCACAGCCATTTCTCGGGTCAGGTGCACACCGCGCTGATGCGCCCCTGCTGTCCTGTCTGTGCGCCCGGCACGCAGGCACTGCAGCGTGGCGAGGGTGAGGCAGCACGGCGGCTGTGCTCTCGGCCCGAGCCGTCCTGAGTTGGCTGGAGGAAATCTGAGCGTAAGGGGGATGACACTGCGGAATGCAGACTGTGTGGAATTCTCCCGACCGAAGTCCTGCCCCAGGACAGGACACTTCTCAGACAGCGTGGCTGCCGGTGGCACTGGAGGGGGTCCCCTGCCAAGGATCAGATACGACCACCTCCTCCCAGGTCTCAGGAAACTTAAGCTAATGCGTAGAATTTTGTGATACAAAGTTTTTCTCAATTATTTTCTTAACACTTTGAGCATTTGGCTCAACTTCAGCGGAGCATAAAATGGCACCTGAGCAGCCTGAAATTATGTTTATTGTGTTCTGTCACTGCTCAGAGAGATTATTTCTGTGTCCCTCAGACTGGGCCCCACTTGGGTCATGGGTCATGGGTGATAGGCGGTCTATTTGGGCGGTGCTTATCAATGACCTTGTCACGCACTCTTGCAGTTTTTGTCGTTTGAAATGCTGACTAAGCTGGTGCACAGAGCCGGTGTGTGCGATGCCCGCGACTCCTCCGTGCACTTTGTGTGCGGCGGCCTGTCTGCCTGCGTGGCCACCCTCGCCGTGCATCCCGTGGACGTCCTCCGCACCCGCTTTGCAGCCCAGGGTGAGCCCAGGGTGAGTGGCCCGGCCTGAAAAGGGGCACCCGAGTACCAGTAGGTGGCCCCGGAGTTGGGGCTCTTCTGAGAGGGAACAAAGCTGGCATAGGCCGGGGAACCGTGCTCAGCACGATGTATGGTGCTCACAGCCTCACGGGGAGCCCACACCTCCAGGGGGGAATCAGAACAAATACAAAACAGTGGGCTGGACAGGGAAGGCAGCTGGAAATCTGGAACATGAGACTTGAGATCAGATTGCCATATTATTTTGAGAATTTTTTTCAAAGATTTTGTTTATTTATTTTCAGATAGAGAGAGGAAAGGAGGGAGAAAGAGAGGGAGAGAAACATCAACATGTGGTTGCCTCTCGCACGCCCCCTACTGGGGACCTGGCCCGCAACCCAGGCATGTGCCCTGACTGGGAATCGAACCAGTGACCCTTTGGTTCGCAGGCCGGCGCTCAATCCTGCACGCATCCATTTCCTCTGCAAGCACTGCCTGCCCTTCTGTGTTGGCTGTGATCCTCGGGGGACTAGTCCCTGTCAGGCACACAGGCCGCCTCCTCCTGTTGTAGCCGTTACACCGTGTTCCTGTGTTCTTTTGTGTGGGTGTGCTGTAATGTATGTGCCCAGTCATCTGAGGGTGGATGTCACGGCTTCTGCTGTTTCGCAGGAGGGCACGCGCTTTGTGCACTCGTGCAGATGCATCAGCCATGTAGATAGCTGGAAGGGGAGTCACTAGGAACGCCCACGGTTGGAATTTTTGTCCAGCATGTTGTTCGTCCTCTCGGCAGGAGTAGTCACGCCCCCGGTCGTGGCGTGGGGGCGTACATGTGGTGGGCTGTGTCCTCACTGCGCTCACTCGAGCTGTGTGTGTGCTCCCAGGTGTATAAAACCCTGAGGAATGCCGTGGCCACCATGTACAGGACCGAAGGCCCCTCGGTCTTCTACAAAGGCCTGAACCCCACCTTGATCGCCATCTTCCCCTACGCCGGTTTCCAGTTCTCCTTCTACAACTCCCTAAAGCACGCGTACGAGTGGGTCACGCCAGCCGAAGGAAAGAAAAACGGTGAGACAGCCCCCGCGCAGAAGGGAACCGAGGCCCCTTTTCCGCCACACGCCTGAGCCGTAGCGTCCCTTTCTGAATCCCGCAGGAAATAGTTTTCCTGTCTGACACTCAGACCCCACAGGCCTCTGAGGCCGGCTCTGAAACGCGACCCCTCACAGATGCCCTTCTCTCTCCCAGCCCTTGCCGCACCTGTCAGTGGCATCAGCGACATTTATTTTCAGCTGCTGGTCATGGTGTTCGTTTTGTCTGAGGTCCCGCGTGCAGACTGCCTGCCTTTGGTTGTGTGTTTTACGTGGTTTTTGTTATGGAAGGAGGTGGAGGAGGAGGGGCCTCCTGTTTGCTCATCAGCCCAAACTACGTGGCACCGCAGAGCCGGGCCCCTGCGGCCTCCAGCGGGGGCAGTGACTAGTAAAGGCCCAGGCCGGTCCTGCCCCCAGCCCACCCTGCGTGCCGTCCCTTGTCGTTCCTGCCAGAAGGGGCTGTCTGGTTCTCTCTTTCCTGGATTAAAATCCTCTGGGAGCAGGCATGTTTGTGGGTTTTTTTTCTGTGGTGCAGGACGGAGCTCATGACCTTGACGTTGCCTACCCTCAACTGCAATTTTCTCATTTTTCCCCTCAATCCCACTTTTCTGGGTCAGAAAACCTCAAAAACCTGCTTTGTGGCAGTGGAGCTGGAGTCATCAGCAAGACCCTCACGTATCCCCTGGACCTCTTCAAAAAACGGCTGCAAGTCGGAGGGTTTGAGCGGGCTCGAGCTGCCTTCGGCCAGGTGAGCTGGCCCTGCAGGCGGCCCCGGCCCTCGCCCCTCGCTGGAGGGGTGGCCTGTGGGGGAGAAGGGCAGGGCACAGAGGGAAGGCGAGCTCCAGCTGAACACCAGGCCTCGGAGCTTGGGCTTGGCTCTTCACAACGTCACTGCCGTTGTCATTGGGAGATGCTGGTGCCTTTGGAGGGGAGCGCGGTGTGTGGCCACCTAGGATGGCCAGGTTAGAGGGGTGGCGCTGTGCAGGCTAAGATCTAATGAGTCCTGGCTGGGAATCTTCTTTGATTAGACAGTCGTCCTGATATGCCAAGGTTGTAGGTTCAATCCCCAGTCAGTGCACATATAAGAAGCAACCAATGAATGCATAAGTAAGTGGAACAACAAATCATTATCTGTCTGTTTGTCTTGCTCGCAAATCAATAAATTAAAATTAGCCCTGGGTGGTGTAGCTCAGTGGCACAAACGTTCAATTCCCAGTCAGGGCACCTGCCTGGGTTGCAGGCCAGGTCCCCAGGTGGGGGCGTGCAAGATGTAGCCGATGTTTTTCTCCCTTTCTCTCTCCCTTCTCCTCTCTCTAAAAATAAATAAAATATTTTTTTAAAATAAAAATAAATAACTAAAAAAAGAGATAATTAGAGCCAGATCCAGATCTGCTTCCTAAAGGGGGCTGAGTGGGATGGGGTGGGGGGCCAGGGGCCTCTGTGAGGAGGGTCCTGAGCCCTCCCTGGGTCTGTTCGTGCCGCAGGTGGCGGGAGCCTCCTGGGCAGGAAGGAGCTCTGTCCAGTGCTGATTGCTTGGCACTTCGATGGTTCCATCCGAATTAGCCCACTTGAAAGAGAAAGAATGAGGTTCACTTTTTCTCTTTTTAATACCCATTCCTTCATCCAGCAAGTATTTCTGGGGAGCTCTGATGTGCTAGGCATTGTGTTGACAAAGCAGTGGAGCCCTGTCCATGTTGCAGTCACCTCCCCCTCAACCTGAGCCACCTCCCTCTCCCCAGGTCCGGAGCTACCAGGGCCTCCTGGACTGCGGCAGGCAGGTGCTGCGGGAGGAGGGCGCGCAGGGCTTCTTCAAGGGCCTGTCCCCCAGCCTGCTGAAGGCCGCCCTCTCCACCGGCCTCATCTTCTTCTGGTACGAGTTCTTCTGTAACCTCTTCCACCACATGAAGACGACACACAGCTAGCCTTGGGGGCCAGAAGGTGGCCTGAGGTCTCTCAGGAGGCGACCTGAAAGAAGTAAGACTTGATCTGCAATCTCTTGTTGTGCTGAGAGGTGCTGCCTGGCCCGCCCCCCGTCCGGCCAGCTGCCCGGAGCGTTAAGAGCCCTGGGGAGCAGGCCACAGCCTTGATCCGACCAGCGTGGGAGCCCCCACAGGGCAAGGGCTTCCTCCCTGCGTGGGCCCAGCGGGCATGGGGGACGTGGTCTGTGGGACCCCGGCCCCTCCAGGCAAGGAGCTTGAAGCCCCCTCTCCATCTCGCTTACACTCGAAGGGGAACAGCCGCTTGCATCCTGCGCTTCTAGCCCAGCTGCCCCAAGAGCTCTCCTGGGTGGGGCTCCAGCCTAGGGCGAGGGCTGGGACTTGCCAGTGGCAGGGGTCTGGTCCCCACACCTGGGCTCTGGTCCCCACCACCTCGTTTAATAGACATTTAAGCTAAAAGCACATTCCTTACCTTACCCCTCTGCCTTCCCTCCTAGGTCACATTGCTCCTGGACACTGATTGTTCCCAACCCTCCCCAAAGTCCACTTTCTCAGTAGCTGCAGCCCTCAGGCAGCTTTGCTGCTAGTTCTGGGGAGGAATCCAAGCTGAACTTGGCCACTTTCTAACCCCCACATTCAGAGCTTCCTGTCTGTAACTGCTCGCCTTGGGGTCCTCGCTCCCTGAGCAGGACTCATCTTGCCCCGGGGGCTCTGGGGAAAGCAGGCACAGCAGGAAGTGGGGGCTGTGTTGAGGGGGAGGTGCGGGAAAGCAGCGGCCCTTTTCCCCAGCGCACCTAGGGCAGCCCTCCTGGGTGGCTGGGAGCTCACAGCCAAGTCAGCTGGCGTCCGCTGCCCCCTCAGCATCCTCTCCGGCTCGGCAAGTTGCCGTGTGTCCACTCTGTAGCCCCAGAAGGGCCACAGCTCTGATGCAGCCCATGAATGGGGTGGTGGAAGGAGGGGGTTGGGCAGACAGGCGGTGCCCAGGAGAGAGGTCGGGGCACAGGAACCAACAGCGGGTGGCCAGATACTCATCTAGGCACCAGGCGAAACTTCAGTTAGGGGTCTGAGAGAAGACCTGTGGAACTCGGCCACCGCCCTCCTCTTCCAGGTCAGCCCAGCCCCGCGGGGCCCTTGGCCCTGGGGGTTGGCTCTGGGGGGGGGGCCAGGAGGGAGGGGCACCAGAATCCCCGGCTGGCCTTGCCCGTGCACCGCCCCCTCCCCAGGCTCTGACTCCAGGCTGTGCTCTGGCAATCGAAGGCCCGAGCTGGAAGCAGGCCTGGTGTGGGTGTCTTGGCTCTTGTTCTCCACGAGCCCGGGCCCCCTCTCTCGTTACTATTTTATCTCTTGTCTGGGGCTTTGCGATTGGTTGGGGACCCCGAATCCTGGAGCATGCCTGCCAATTATGAAAGTCCGTGGCTGGAGGGCAGGGCACGCCAGCACCCGGGGGTTTTGGGCACTTAAGGCCTGGGTTTGGGACTGCGGCGGGGCAGCTGCCTTAATGTATTTTTAAAGAAATTCCATTGAAGTAAACTCTATTTTCTTCATCTCTCCTGCTCACTGGTTTCTTTTGCTGCGGCTGAGGGTTCTCTTCCTCATCCATGTTCTGGTGACCGCTTTGGCCTCTCCCCTAACAGGAGACCACAGTCAATACTTCCTGCCTAAGCGAAGGGAGGAGACAGTCCCTTCGCAGCCCCCTTTGTATGCCCTCCTGCAGCCTGGGGCCGACCTCAGGCGTGGCCCTGCCGCTCTGCTGGGTGGGCCGCCTAGAAAGACGCTGCCAGGGCTTCGCTCAACTTCAGGGTCGCTCCAACACCTGCGGGTTGCAAGTCCGCAACTAGAACCCCTTCCCCATTGATTTTCAACTCATTTTACCAGGATCCTTTGTATTTGCAGTAGGAGAGGAGGTTAGTGGGATTTGATTCAGCCCATTACCCACCATCCCATCCCCCCTTTCCTCTCCTTCGGGGGGCGGAGAACTCGGCCACACACACACCTGTGAAGTCCTCCTCCGGCCACCCTCTGCCCTACCCCCTAGCTCCCTGTGGCCTCCCGGGTTCGGGCCACAGTCCCCGTGGCTCGTCCCTCGCCGCGCGTTCCCGCTGAGTCGCCTCTTCTGACCCTGCTCCAGCTGCGCGTGTGGCGGGGAGAGGCGGGATGCCACCGTTTAAGACCCAGGGCTTCATGTGGGCGGAGCAGGAGGTCCGACCCAGCGCCGGCGAGCCCCGAGCAGGCCGGGGGCGAACCGGGTGAGGAGAGAACAGGGGCAGCGCAGCGGTGTCATCGAGGTCCCACCGAGGTCCCACGCGGCCCTGCCTGGCTTCCCTTGCCGGGTCTCCCTTGCCGGGGACCTCGGGGCAAGCCGGGTGGCAATGGCAGCGTCACCGGCGCTCCAGCAGGTGGCGCCGGCGACGCGGGCCCGCCTGGGCCCCGGGCAGGCCCCGCCCCTCCACAGGCCCCGCCCCAGCGCCGCGCTAGGAAATGACCTAAGCCGCGGCGAGGCGCGCAGGGTCTCAGAAGCGGCACCGCGGACGCGGGTCGCGCGCGTCATGCCCGCTGAACGGCCTCCGGGCACGCGGGCGCGGCACCAGGCCGGCAGGTGGGTCCTGGCGCTCTCGCCGCTTCTCCCTCCCGTAGGACCGCGGATGGCGGTTTCTGCTGCCGGCCCTGCACCAACGGGAAGGGCGTTCTGGGCTTAGGGAAGAAGCTGCCCAGGTGTGGAGACCCCTAAGGTCGCTCCTTTGACCATTGACCAGGGGAAAGGCACTGAGTCCAGAGAGGGGGCTCCAACCAGGACTGCCTCCGAGGACATCTCTGCCCGCCCCGCTCTTTAAGAGGAAGGATCTAGAAAGGAGCTCAGGAATTGGGAGTCCTGAGTGGCCAGAGGCGGGTTTCTGCCACTTTGGAGGCCAGTTTAACCAGTTCGTCCCGGGGAGAAGCTGGCCAGGACAGGGGAGTTTGGGCTCCCAACAGACAGGGCGGCAAAGAAGACTTCCACCCACCCACACAGGTCGGCGCCAACCCGCGGGCTGGAGGAGTGTGTTCCGTGGACTGAGAAGGACTCTGTCCAAAGCTGTGGCAGTGGGTTGGCGAGAGGGACTTGGAAGCCAAACCCCGCTGGGGCAGCTGCGCGCTTCTTGGAGCCCCCAGCCCTCTCACTGGCCCAGAATCTTGCTGGGCCAGCAGCTTGCAGGCCGGTTTACATAGGCAGGGCAAGTGTCTAATATGCACCTACCCACACCCCCAGGCCAGCGCACCCCGCCGCATGGCATCCACCGCTGGCGTCAGCTGAGAATTACTCTGCGTCCTGTTGGGACGGGAGGGTAGGCCCTTTCACCCTTCATCTTTTGGCTGTTCTGTAATCCCAGACGCTACTGGGGTTCCTAAACTAAGCAGCAGGTGCCCAGTCTCCACCAGAAGCCAAGCTTGGTAGGCACTCAGCCAGCCACCAAGTGCCAAGGACTGCCCAGAAGTACCTGACCCAAGCGCTGGCCAGCCCCACTCGGGGCCTGCATCCTGGGAACCCCAGCCCCGCGCTCCATAGCTGAGGCCTCCGCCTTCACCCCCTCCTCCTCCCCAGGTGCTGTCACTAATCCCGCCCCAGTAAAGAGCTGCTGGGGCTGGGTGGTCATGGGGGAGCCTGGGAAAGAGGAGTATAAAATCCAGTCTTTTGATGCAGAGACCCAGCAGCTGCTGAAGACAGCACTCAAAGGTGAGCATGGGGAGCCCTCCTGAGCCTGGGTCTGGAGCTGCAGGCAGGGGGCCCCCCCAGGGGAGAGGACTGGAGGACTGAGCCTTCCGCCTGGGAATGTCTAGCCCTCTCCCCCCACCCCCGTTCGATTTCTGTGATTGGGAGTCAGCAACATAACTCTCAAACCGAAAGGCTACACACAGGCCAGGTTTGGGAGTGTGAATCAGAGTCACGTCCCAGACCATAAAGCCTTTTTTGGGGAAGTATAGGTGCCCATGGGGAGGGGGGCACAGAAAGCAGCTCCTGCCCTTTTGAGTCCTCACGTTGGACCTGGTGTCTGCGTTGCTGCAGGCAGCTCTCCCGAACCGGCCGAGCTGCCTGACGCAGGACAGAGGAGCTAGAGTCACTGCCTGGACCAGGGCCTGCCCGCAGCACTCATGGCAGGGGTGTGACTCGGCTAACGAGCAGCAGCGCCCACCACGTGCCAGGCCAAGCCTGTGCGCTTCACGTCATGAGAACACTTTCTCCTGTAAAATTGCCGTCAAAAACGGTTACTCAGTGCTCCTTCCTCATCCTAGTGCCAGAGACGTAACCTGAAAACTGAGCACTCTTTAGATTAGTCTACAGCCTCACACCCTCCCCGTTTCCTCTGAGGGGGCCGCCGGAGCCGGTGCTGCTCCTGAGCGGTTACTCCTGTGTTTCTGGTCTCCTTAAATGACATGAAAGGGTGTAATGGGAGTGCCCATCCTTCTTAGGAGCAGGTGGAGACAATTGTGGTAATTAAGCAGCTCGAGACTGCCTGCCTATCTTTACCCCAGATCCAGGTGCCGTGGACTTGGACAAGGTGGCCAATGTGATTGTGGACCATTCTCTGCAGGACTGTGTGTTCAGCAAGGAAGCAGGACGCATGTGCTATGCCATTATTCAGGTTGGGTAGGGCCGGCGGAGACAAGGGGAGACGTTTTGAGGAAGGTGCTTCAGGAGTGGGCCAGGATGTAAAAGACTCCCCTTCGAGGCAGAGGCAGGAGCAGGACAGGAGGGTCCTCAGCCACGGAAGCTTTGGGTGGGGGTCGTGACAGCGCCACTCCTCTCTCCCTCCACCCCCACTCTCCACCCTCTTTCTCCTGGTCACAGGCAGAGAGCAAGCAGGCAGGCCAGAGTGTCTTCCGGCGTGGACTCCTCAACCGGCTGCAGCAGGAGTACCAGGCTCGGGAGCAGCTGCGTGCCCGCTCCCTGCAGGGCTGGGTCTGCTACGTCACCTTTATCTGCAACATCTTTGACTACTTGAGGGTGAGGCTGCGGTAGCCACCCCGTGCGGCAGAGATGGCCTGTCTCCTGAGGCCACTCGGCCAGCGCTTTGACCCCTGCTTCCCCCCACAGGTCAACAACATGCCCATGATGGCGCTGGTGAACCCCGTCTACGACTGCCTCTTCCGGCTGGCCCAGCCCGACAGTCTGAGCAAGGAGGAGGAGGTGGGTGGCCTGGCATGCGAGGCTGCGGAGTGGGCAGACTTTAGTTCGGCTCCGAAGACCAGCCCAGTGTCCACGGAGGCTTTGAGGGCACTGCTTTTGGGGCAGGAGCCTGGTGGGGGCAGTTAGGGCCTGTCACGGTTACAGGACAAGCTGCCAGGTCTGGAATTTATCCAGAACAGAGAGCTGCCTAAAGCTACTGGCTCAGAGGCCTCCCTCCAACAGGAAAGCCAACCTCTAATAGGAACGGCGGGAGCCTTGGCTGGCTGTGGACACACAGACAGAAACCAAACCAGGGTCAGGCAGTGTGTGTGTGTAGGGGGGAGGTAGAAAGTGGGTGAAGCAGCAAGCAGTTGGGAGACAGGGCCCGAGTCCAGCCTGGCCTCGATGAAAGACCTTAGGCAAGTGCCTGAACTTGCTTCCTTTCACGGAAGATGTGGGTGACACCCACTAGGTGGGGTGAGGATGAAGTGAGCGAAGTGCGTGTCTGGGGCCGAGCACGCTGCCTGGCACACGGCCGGAGCCAAGTAAATGGCTGCTCTGTGCGATGTGCTGGCCCCGACCGGGAGCTCACCTCCCACGGTCCCTGCAGGTGGACTGCCTGGTGCTGCAGCTGCACCGCGTTGGGGAGCAGCTGGAGAAGATGAACGGGCAGCGAATGGATGAGCTCTTTGTCCTGATCAGGGATGGCTTCCTGCTCCCAACCGGCCTCAGCTCCCTGGCCCAGCTGCTGCTGCTGGAGATCATTGAGTTCCGGGCAGCCGGCTGGAAGACCACCCCGGCCGCCCACAAGTATTACTACAGCGAGGTCTCTGACTAGGCCGCCCGATCGGGCTTCCCGGCCGGCAGCGCTGGCCTTTCCTCTACCCGCCTCCCAGCCTGGCCGCGCAGTGCCTGCCTCTCCCCAGTGCTTCTTCCCTCCAGGCTTTCAACGGGTCCCGAGAGGTTTCCCACCTAGCGGGTGGTCCTGCTCTAAGCACCTTCCCTCCTCCGCCAGGGATTGGGGAAGACACCACACAGACCTGCTCCCCTGCCCACCCCACAGTCCTCCCTCTCTGCCCCACCCAGGGGGTTACACAGCTTCTTAGTGCCTCAGTCTCCTGTCTGTAAAGTGGTACCCATAGCCATTGGTAGACGTTTTGGAATGTCCAGAAGCAGAGAGGCAGAGCACAAGTCACTCCCGATACTGCTTTTGATACATTTTGTATGAAGACTTTGGACACAGGTGTATTTCCTGTAGTCGCTTTTAATGAGTGGCAGCACCGTATCACATGCTCCAGTTCAGGGCGAGAATTTTCTAATAAATCTTTCCGATATGAAAATGCTTCCTTTTGTCACCCAAATGTCCACCTTAAGCAGAGGGAAGAGAAGGCAGATGGGCCCTCAGACTCTTGGGGGACTACCAAGTCCATACGTTGCCTCTTCGCAAGGAGACGGGGCAGGGAGAGCAAGCTCTAGCCCACAAGGGAAGGACTAAAGCAATAAACATACTGCTCTGTCCTTCCTGTGCGGCCTGCCTGTCCTTAGGAACCACGTCCTCCAGCCCAGGCAGTTTCCATGAGCGCTGCCTCACGCTGCCTCTAGCGGCAGAGCCCTGGGCTCCTCCGGGAGCCTCCCCGCCCCTACCACCAGCGGTAGTGGGCCAGCGCGCGGTTGGCCTCAGCCATCTTGTGCATGTCGTGCTTCCTTTTGATCACAGGGCCCTGGTTGTGAAAAGCCTCCAGCAGCTCACGTGACAGCTTCTCTGGCATCAGCATCCGCCGGTGCTTCTTCTCCCTGCACTCAGTAATCATCCACTTCATGGCCAGGAAGCGACGCCGCCGGTCGGATAGCGGCACAGGGACCTGGCCAAGACAGGACACGGGCAAGTTGGTCCGAGAACTGCCAGGGCTGCAGCCCCCTTCCTCCACAGGCTGCCCCTGGGCCGGCCCGAGCAAGGCTCCTGAGGAGAGGGGCCCGTCTCTTCCTCTCGGAGCTTCCCTCGCCCCTGGGTGACATCAGTATAGCTGACGTCCGAGGCATTCAGGGAGCACACGCTCATTAAGCACTGACCTCTTGCACCTGTAAATGAACGCTCAGCCATGTTGATAAAAGCACCAACTGGGAAAAGCCCCATCAGCTGGGGCCACTTAGCCCACTCAGATGAGGGATGCCTCAAGATGAGACCCCCTTGTCCAAGAATCATTTTCCAAGCCCTACTATCACGCCAGACCCTAGGGACACGGACATTAATGAGAAAGTCTCTACTCTTATGAAGTTTACACTGAAAAAGGAGAAGATGAGAATACCCACTTATGACAATGAAGTATAATTAAATACTATAATGGAACCACCCAGTTCAGCTCAACAAATGGTGATGTAGCATTTAACTTGTAATTGATGTTTCGCTGGACACTGGTGTATAAAGATAAGGTCTACACAAAGTCCCTCACCATGGGAAACTGACGGAACGTAAGATGCTGGGGGACGGAGGTGTCACTTGGATACTACTTTGTCCTCTGCCGTTTTCTACCTGACATTTTAACACTATGGGGCTCAGATGACCAAATCCTGACAGTTTCTGGTCCCTAGAAAGCTACCAATCTTGGTCAACTCTGGGCCCTCCCATCCACAAGAACCTCTCACCCCCACCCGCCCACACACATACACCCACCGTTACACATGGGGCAGCCCTGCTTTCCCTGCTCTGACCACTCACCTGGTAGAAATGGCCACCCTTGAGGATGGGTACCAGCCCAATCACAGGCTCACAGTTTTTCAGTGCTTGGTGGAAGATGGTGTAGGGGTTGCGTTCAATGGTCGCCTGTTCCTCCGAAGAAGCGGCGTGGTACTTCTCAAACTGCTTCCTTTTCACAGCTTCCAGAGTCTGCAAAGGGATACAGTGGAAGAGGATGCCCCAGGTTCCCTGACGGGCTGACCTGGCCGAGCCAGTGCCCGCCCTTCACTCCCACTCTCAGGCTCTTCTGCATCAGTGCAGCTCCTCCACAGCACTTTTTAAAAATCCTCTCCCAAGGATATGTTTATTGATTTGAGAGAGAGAGGAAGGGAGGAGGTAGAGGGAGAAACACTTTGGGGTCAAACCCACAACCTAGATACGTGCTGATGGAGAATGGACCCTAAAGCCATAACCTTTTGGTGTCTGGGGTGACGCCCCAACCAACCAAGCCACCTGGCCAGGGCTCCCCAGCACTTCCAAGACAAAAGTTCTTAAGCGCCTCCCTCTTTCCTACACCAGGACAGGAAGAGCCGGCTAGGATTGGGCGGGCGGGGGCGGGGCGTGGAGGGGATTGTAGCTGTTGACTCCTGCAAGGCTTCATTAAAGCCCCACCCAACACAGACAAACAGGGAAGTTCATTTTAATGACAGGCATATGAATCCATTCTTTTCCATGCTAAACCGAAAGAGCTAACTGTGAAGCTACAAGAAAAAGATGAAAGGCAAGAGGTACTATTCACCTTTGTCATGAGGGATCTGGCCAGCACTTTGTTTCCGCCTTTCATCATCATGTTGGTGAATTTACTTCAAGGAGAAAAACATGTTTAGCTTTCTAAGGCTGTATCACAGAATCCTTATTGTAGACCCTCCCCGGTATTGTCCCAGTGGAACAAAAGTGTTTCCATCTAACCTGATCAGTGGGTCTTCAAACACAGAGCTTGTTTTCATCGCTGGGGCAGCTTTGATAAGCTGAGTCTTTCTGAGCTCCCGCTCAAACTTCTGTTCCTCAGTCAGCTCTGCCAAGGGCTTGCGGTAATATTCCTTGTCGACCTGGGGATCTCTGTATTCAGGGCCATAGCGGCTCCACCTCACCTGGATTAGCCTTGGAGAGGGGGAAGAGGAAGAGGCGGGCAAAAGCTGACTGCACAAGTGAAAAGGCTTGACTTAATAATAGACGTGTTTGCCAACGGACCGACTAGCGAGCGGCGCGCAGACCGCTAGCCAACCCTAAACCGCGGTAATTCTGGCTCTGGCCCCCAAAGGTAGGAGGACCTACCCCAAACAGGCTGGTAAAGTCTCTCCAGTGCCAACGATAAGAACACATTCCTGAACCTCAGGGTGGACGCCTGCCTATGCATGTCTACCCCCAATTCCCAACACAGAACACCCCAACTCTGAGCTTTAGCAAGGATGCATTTTCAGCTCAGAATTAGAGCCCCCTCAGGTAGGGGGACAGTCATCAAGTCTTCAGATTAGCTCAAAGACACGCAGCTACTTAAGAGCCTTGGGCCCAGATGCCCCCGCACGGCTTTCCTTCCCACAGGTCTCTCCATGAAGACCAAAGCGGCCCGCGAGCTGACCGCCGACCTCTCACCCTGGAAGCCGCAGAACAGTGCTGCGTACGCCCAGTGCTAGGTCCGACCACCCTCGCACTGTCTTCACCAGGGGGGCAGCCATCTTGGTTTGCCACGAGGACCCCATACGAGCTGCCCTCGGCGTGCCTGAGCGACTGACGAAAGAGAAGGGAAAAGCTCCACAGGGTCCTAAGTCTGCGCATCACCCCATTAATCTGGGCGTTAAGAGTCTCTCACCCCGAGGTCCAAAGGGAAGAATCAAAAGGAAACACTCGCCCTCCCATTTTCCGTCGCACTCCGGCGCGACCCTCGGTGGCAGCGCTCGTTCCTCTCAGGCCCCCATGCAGGCCCCGCCCCGGCTCAGCTCTTGCAGGTTATCGCGAGGTTTGAGGCCGCGGGCCCGGCCCGGGCGGCTGCAATATGGCGGAGGCGGAGGGAGAGAGCCTGGAGTCCTGGCTGAGTGAGTATCCGCGTCCGCTTTTGCATGCCCTCGCGCCACCACCGAGCCGCCCCTCTGCACATCCCTACACCCCCCTCCCCGGGCCCCGCGGCGGCGCAGTCTGAGCCTGGGCCCGGCGCGCCGCGAGCGTTCCACGTTCACGCCCCTTCCCCAGCAGTGCGCCTGGCTCCCGCCCGGCACCTGCTCCGAGTGCTACGGCGCCACTTCCCGCTCCCACGCGCGTCGGCGTGAGCTCGGGTCCCGTCCGGCCTCCGGGAAAATGACAGCCAAGTGCTTCCGCCTGACAGGCACCGCTGCTTAGGGGAGATTGTGGCGGGACTGCGGGCGGCTCAGTCCGTGACGAAGGGAAGAGCTCTGGATTTGGGCTGAAACTCGGGAGCGGTGGGTGCTGCTGAGCATGCACAGTTGTGGCTGTGCATTCGAGAAGTGACCGCTTCGCGCAGGCAGAGTGTCTGGGGTGAGAATAATCCAGAGAGAAAGAGAGAGCCGAGCTCCATGCCCCCCACGTCGCTCCGCACGCGCACAGTTGCTTGAATATCTTGAGTCATTTTTTGGTAACCTACTCTGAGCAAAGCAGAAGAGCCCAGCCCGATGCCTTAGTTATAGCGAGCTATTGCTTTAGTTGCTAATTTATGTTGCTATTAAGGAAATATGGGCTAGCCTTGTTAACTGGTGGTACTCTGCTGAAGGGTTAGTAGGTTAACTTTCCTATGGGCTACAGGAGGCTTCTGAGATAGAAATTGGACATGGTGGTAATGCAAGTTGGGATGCGTAGATACTACCTTTTGCAGCGATCTCATTTACTGGAGCCTCCAGGTTCTTGCAGGTGATGTCTGTTTCCTCCAGTTGCCTGACCTTTTTCTTAATAAGACACTCCCTCCAGGTGGTTGAACGCAGGTTACATTTGCAGCAATCTTCAGTTGCAGGCAGGTCACAGCGCCTTCTGTGTATATGGAACTGTTCTCCAGGGAGTGCAGTGTTCTAAGGACATTCATTTAATTCATTTATCAAGTGTCCTAGCGAAGCAGATAGTATTGTCACAATTTTTCGCAAAAGGAGAAATTGTGGCAATCTAATCAAACCACGTGCCCAGAGCCATCAGACCAGATGTAACCACACTGGAATTGGTTTGAGTCACAGATATTGATGGGGACATTGGAGTAGTTTAAGTGGCCTAAGCTGAGTTTAATAGGTTTAGAGTTGTAGTTTGAAATAGAAGAGGGACAGACCTGTTTTTGTGAGAGATGACGGGAGGGGAGTGAGATGGTATCTGCAGAAACTAGATGTCCCCGACTTGACGTTGTTCGACACAATTGTTCGATGGTACGATGGTGCGAAAGTGGTAAGCGTTCAGTGGGAACCGTACTTCTCAGTTTGGGTTCAATCTTTGCTCCGGACTCACTCATGGTGCCGGGCAGGTGCAGCTCCCAGCCAGCCACTCAGTCACAAACATAAACAGCCGAAATGCTACACTGAACTGTGTTGCCACGGTTTTTTGGATATTCTGTTCTAGGCTAAGGAGGTGGGTGAGGTCGAGATAAGAGATGAAGGGAGAGATTTAAAAGAACATTAAGCTGGAAGGGACTAGAATGGACAGATTGCTGGATGAGGTAAGGGAAGAGGGATCAGCGACGGGACCTCAAACCTGGGTGCCTGAAGGTCGAAGCAAAGGGAGCTTTTTTATAGAAGTAGGGAAGATAGGAAGGAGAAGTGATGGGTTTGTTTTTAGACTCATTTCTGCACCAGAGGGGCACTTATAATTACACATTGCCTTGTTTGTTGCTCTGGTTATGTCTAGTGTTGCATCAGGAGAGAAAAACTCCTTGGATGTTGTGTTTTAGGCTAAGCTATGATTTTCGGTAGGTTATGTGTGTTAAATGCATTCTCATCTTTTGATATTTTCAACTTTTGAAGGGTTCATCTGGCTGTAACCCCACTGTAAGTCTTATGACTTAATGGTGTGAACCCACCAGTGCTTGCGCTTCAGCATCTTATCCTAGGTCCTTGTCACTCCATGACGTGTTGGATTTATTGTAGCAACCCCTGCTGGGCCCTGGGTAGGATCTAAGCCTTGTCCTTTTTCTGAAGTCCCTCCAGGGTATGGCATGCTGTGTACTTAGTTTTTGATGGGTGCCTGACAAACACTTGGTGATTGACTCACTCTCTCTCTATTCAAGACTCGAGCAATGAAGGTGGATGTTTGACTCTTTTTCCATCCCTTGTTCTTATCTCTGCTTATTTCTGACATACTTGCTACACAGAACTTGTTGTCTCTGTTAAGAATGTCCAAGCTATAGTGGGTTGGGGTAGCCAGTGCTGCTCTTCCATCCTGACTGAGCTTTTGAGGTCCCGCAACAGTCAAGGCCAGTGAGGGAATGAAGCTGAAAGTGAGAGCAGGGAATCTTGAGACCGAGACTTAGAGAGAGTGAGGCTTTCAACAGCAACCTGCAGCTAGAAACCCTGAAGCAGAGTAGAGCCCAGAGGGTGGTTCTAGAAGGCAGGGTCTGTGATGTAAGCCCTGTTGCCACCTCTGTGCCAGGTGATGGAGAATGTTGAGTGGGTGGAAGATCGTGTGCATCTGCTGGGTGAGACCGTGGGCAGATGGAGAGATGCAGGCACCCAGAGGAGTCCTCAGAGGTTTCTCCCGGTTCCTGTGGGCAACTGAGGCCTGCCTCCCGAGCCAGCTGGAGAGCTGGGAGGGGTACGCAAAAGTGCGGCTGACAGCTGCTGAAACTAGGGCTCTCTGCACCCACGTGTAGGCACAGCGCTCCCTGCAGGTTTGCAGTAGAAAGTTCTGTCAAGCTAAAAGTCGGATCCTGGAGAAGTGGAATGCAGTGAAAAGCAGGGGTATTCTTGGAAGCAGAAGTGCGGTTAGAATTCCAGCAGGTGTGGGAAGAGTACGTGTTTGGTGAATGCTTGGTTTGCGTGCGTGCGTGCGTGCGTGTGTGTGTGTGTGTGTGGTATGTGTATATCAGGGAGGAGGGGGTGTCCACATCAGACTGTATTTGGAAGCTGTTCTTCCAGCTGCTCACAGTGCCAGTGAGTGGGCTGCTGTTTCTTACACCACAAGGCATGTGACCATTCCCCAAATAGTAGTGATGGGGTGGGGGTGGCTCCTCAGACCACCTTACTTCTGTGTCCCTACGGTCACTTGGTGTCATGCGAGAGCTTTAAACATCTCAAATGATAGGGATTAGTAACAAAGCCACGCCAACACCTGAGAAGGTTTCGGATAACTGGTGGGAGAGACTCGGGGCTTCCCTGGAAGGTGACAGCTGGTAGGTCACTATGGCAATTAACAGTCGCTCTGGATAGAATTAATCTCTTTCCTTCAAGGTTGCCATTTTGAAGGGCCTGTTAATTCTCTTCTTGAGATTAAGAACAGACCTCTCTCTTTTCCTCCAAGCGCGAACCTAAGCCGTCGGGTCTTCTCACAGCCAGAGCAGGAGCACTGCCAGGCAGGTGCCGCGTCTGCCGGAGCTGCGGCCTTGGCTCTGCCTCGCGTGGCGTCTGTCCCCTCTCGTGGCCCAGAGCCCTGTGTGTGGGGCACGGAGTCCCTGTTGGGATTCGATTGTGGAGCTAGTGATTTTTAACATTAGGAAAAAAGGAAGTTAAGAAAACAGTCCAGAGAAATCAGAACTCAGGGACCGCTAACACCACCCCTTGTCGCAAGGGGCTGCTTCACGCTCCCGGGGCTCCGGCCCCCAGCGCGGCTCTGCCCTCAGCGCTGAGTGCTGCAGGAGGGTCTGTGTCTTCGGCCTCCGTTTCTCTTCTGAGCCCGACTCCCTAAATATAGCAGACAGCTTGAGGCTGCTTTCTGGGGTAGGCAAATGCCAAGATTTGAATCAGGGATCGGAATATTTTTTTTGTATTTTTTTAAAACAAACTGTCCCCAGTAGGCTGAATGCTAGCACCGTAGCAGAGAGAAAACCTAGTGGGAAAGTGTTTCGTGGTCCTGTCCATGGCAGATGAGAAAACTGCATTCTGAAAGTCTTGATGATGACCAAGAGATGGGACACATTTACCCACCCTCGGCTGGGGCCGCTCTCGGCACGTGCAGCTGCTGGGGATGATGGGGGAAGGGGAGCCACCCCAAGCGTTGGGAGGCGCAGCGTTCAGCACTGGCTTTGAAGCCCTCAGCAGCCCTCTGGGGACGCCCTGGCATGTGCCTTTGTCCTTGGTCCTGGAAGGCCGTGGGATCCTGAGGGCACCAAGTGCTCAAGGTTCGATCCTGTTTCTCTGACCCCCGGGACAGACAGCGCACCGACCCGTGCGGTCGAGGCGCAGAATGCTGTTAGCGTGGCTTCCTGCGATGGGCATTATGTGCAATTTATTTTTAGATCTTGAAAAAGTTTTTGAGGGGTATGTAGGAAGTGTATTTTCTAAGTATGTACATTTTTGGTCAAGTATCCCCTTCCTCACTTTCTCCAGGAAAAATTTCCTTTCTTTGGTAATTTTCAATGTGTAACTTAAAAAAAAATTGTTCCAATTACAGTTTATAATCATTACTATTCTGTATTAGTTTCAGGGTACAGCATAGCGATGAGACAGTCAAATACTTTACAAATTGGTCCCCCCAATACTTTCAGAACCCACCTGGCTCCATACCAAGTTATTACACTCTTATTCTTTTTAATTAGTAATTGATGAATTCATTAAAGTATGTAATCACTTTTTTATCCTTGTTATTGAATTTATTGTGGGGATGCTGGTTAACAAAAGTTACACAGATTTCAGGTGTGCGACACTATCGTTGACGGTGCTTCCTGCGTTATACTAGGAAACACTTCTGATCACCGCCGCTGGCTTAACACTCAACGCTCCGCTTGTTTTTGCATAGCTGGAAGTATCCGTGTTTACTTGTTACAGTAAACATTTTACAGATGTGTTTACTTGAGTATTTTAGTCATTTGTGTTTGTGTTTGTCCCGTCGATCGTGATCCACCCTGAGCTCCATGGGGCTGCGGGCCTCTTTTCTCCTTCGTTCGGGGCTTTCACGGCACGGACGGAGAGCGGTATTTGTGCTTGACTTGCTGCCTGACTGAACTGTGGAGGCTTCTGGTAGAGAAGAAATTTGGAAACAAACTTATCTTCACATCACCGCACAAAAATTATGAAGAAAACCTGTCGAATCCTCCTTGCTCTTTGTGACAGTTGTCTTCTTTGTCCTGTCCCAAGATAAAGCCACCAATCCTTCCAACCGCCAGGAGGACTGGGAATATATCATTGGCTTCTGTGATCAGATCAACAAAGAGCTTGAAGGGTGAGTCTCAGCGCTGTCAGGGGGCAGGAGAGAGTTGCCTGGGAATGTGAAAAACTGACGCCCAGGCGCCCAGCCGGGTGGCCTCCGGGCCAGTGTCTTGAAAGTGTGGTCTGCTTGCCTCCCAGGCCGCAGATAGCTGTCCGGCTGCTGGCCCACAAGATCCAGTCTCCGCAGGAATGGGAGGCGCTCCAGGCCCTGACGGTAGGTTTCTCATCCTGACGGCGGATCTTCAGGAGCCCAGGCCCGTCCTGGAACACGCTCAGTTGGCCGCCGTACAAACATGTGCGCCCTTGTGCCGGGCACTGAGGCCTCAAGGATGACTGTGTGGCCACGTGGTCTAGTGGGAGAAGCAGAGGCTAAGGGAGGGAGCCAGAGGCAGGGCCCTGAGCCCAGGGCGGTTAAGCCTTAACTGCCATTTAAGAGTTGACCCACTGAAGAAAATTGGCGGTGAATATAACTCATCCTGTAGCTAAAAGTAATGCCAGTTACTAGTTAATGCCAGTTACTAGTGAAGGCATCACACCATCGGGCAGGTCTTGGTGTTTATTGGGACTAAGAGGATTCAAGATGTGGAGCTGTATGTGGCACCTGGGCGCCGCCGGGTGAGGAGTCCCAGGGTCCTCCCTGCAGAAGGGCGGCGGAGCGGAGGTGGTCGCAGGAGGGCGCTCAGGCAGCGGTTCTCTACCAGGGGGGTGGGGGGCGCTTTTGCCCCCCAGGGAACATTTGGCGATATCTGGTGGTGCTTTGGGTTGTCTCATGTCGGGGTACTGCTGGCATCTAGTGGGTTAGAGGCCAGGGATGCCACCACACATCCTGCGGTGCACAGGGCACGTTCCACACGGAGTGGCTGGCCCCAGTTGTTCGTGACGGCACCGTTGAAAAGCCTTGCTTTACAGAGACAAGCCGAGAGAGGGCGCTCTGGGGCAGCAGGCCCCTCCGCACGGGCCGCAGGCCCAAGGGAGCTCCAGGAAGCCTCCTGGCCCTGGAGGGAAAATGGATGGGAGCAGGGCGGGGGGGACGGGTCCTGTCAGCTAAAATTGAGAAAACAATGTAAACTTCATCTGCCACCTCCCCAAAATGTCACTCAGCTTGTGGAAAGAAGCCTGGACCCTGAGCTAGAGCAGCTCTCCCTGGGCCTCGCGCTCCTCAGCTGAGACGAGCAGGGCATCCCTGGTGGGAGGGCGTCTCCCAGGGCGGACAGCCACCGTCTTGGTGTCTGGGCTCCTCCTGTTCCTGCTGAGCTTCCCCAGAGGGGTTGCCATCCAGGGACAGGGGCACAGTACGGCCCCTGGGGTCACGTTCACCGTGCCCCCTGCTGAGATCCTTCCCTGGTGAATACTGACTCCGCCCCTGGCTGGGGCGCCCACCCAGACCCCGCCCCCACCGAGCGCGCCCCGTGGCTGCAGGTGCTGGAGGCGTGCATGAAGAACTGCGGGCGGCGGTTTCACAACGAAGTGGGGAAGTTCCGGTTTTTGAATGAGCTCATCAAAGTGGTCTCTCCGAAGGTGAGTCAGAGGCAGTTTCCTTGTGTGCGGGCGGGCGCTTCCTTTGTGCCTCTCCCCCCTCCCACTCTGCTGGCTTTCACTGCACAACTAGCATCTCCACGGATCTGAGATTCTGTGTCTTGTCCTTCGACAAGTGGGCCCCGGGGGTAGCAGGAGGGCCATACAGGCCACAGGGACAGGCAGACGGCTCCGATGCGCTTCTAGCCTAAATGTGACAGGTGACATGGCACAGCTGTGTGCATATCTGGGGAGGGTCCGCAGAGCAGCCCCTTCTGTCTTGCACGTGGGTACGAGGAGCGGCCGCTTTGTTGCTCAGGTGCACGGACCCCGTCGCCCACAATGTTGCTTCGGCTCTGGGCGCCCACGGACGGCGGGGGAACAGGTTTTTATTCTGAAACATTAACTGCTCCGCAGTGAAATGCAGCTGTGTTTCTGGCAGATGGCGCGTGGAAACACAGGGATGAGCGCCCGCCGCTGCCTGACCGCAGACTGTGGTCGGCTGGATACAGCTCTGCCGCCCCACCGGGAGCTGCCTCCCCGCTCCAGTGCTGCCTGTCACACACCGGACCCCCTGCCGGTTTCCCGTAGGCTTGAGGTCCCTGGCTTGTTAGCAGCCATTCCACTGCTGTGAAGAGAGCCTTCCCATCTCCCTTCCTTTTGCCTTTTAGTACCTGGGGGACCGAGTGTCTGAGAAAGTGAAGACCAAGGTTATCGAGCTGCTTTATAGCTGGACGTTGGCCCTGCCCGAAGAATCAAAGATCAAGGATGCCTACCACATGTTGAAGAGACAGGGTGTGTGCCTGCCCCCCCAGCCCCCACACGGCCCCAGCGGCCAGCCAAGGCCAGGGCCGGGGTGTCCCTCTCCCGCCCTCCTTCCCTCCCAGAGCCCATGGGACGGGCTTGGCGGGTTTGATGGGAGGGGTGTGTCGCCTGCTCCGTCCCCGCAGGCCCTGACGACAGGGCTGTGCCCCTGGCTGAGTGAGGAGGGACGGCGAGGCCCCTCAGCCTGAGCGGCGCCCTGCCCTGTGTCGTCTTGCAGGCGTAGTGCAGTCTGACCCACCGATCCCCGTCGACAGGACACTGATCCCCTCTCCACCACCTCGTCCCAAGAACCCTGTTTTTGACGATGAGGAGAAATCCAAGGTAAAGCCCCTCCCGCCTTGGCACCCTCGGGCACAGCGTGGTCTTGTGTACGCTGCGGGGAGCTCCAGGCCCTCCGGGGTCTCCCAGCTGGGGCGCTGACTTTTGACTTCACCTTTGATACCCTCTCATCCAGCTTTTAGCCAAGTTGTTGAAAAGCAAAAACCCAGATGACCTTCAGGAGGCCAACAAACTCATCAAGTCCATGGTGAAAGAAGTAAGTGGGCCCTGGGCGTGGGGGTGGGGCGGGGGCGGGGCGCCCCGCAGAGCAGAACTCCCTCGCTCGGCATTGGGCCTGCTGTTCGCTCTGCCGTTAGCCCCGCTGGAGAGGCTGGCGAGGGGAATAGAGGAGCAAGAGTGAGTGGGGCCACATTTGGGGCTTGGGGGAGGATTGTTTTAAAAGAAAAACCGTCCTGGGCCGGGTGGCTCAGTTGTTGGCACATTGTCCTATACACCAAAAGGTTGTGGGTTTGATCCCCAGTCAAGGTGGGTACAGGAGGCAGCATATTGAGGTTTCTCTCTCTCATTGATGTGTGTCCATCTCTTTAAAATCAAAAACATATCGTAAGGTGAGGATTAAAAAAATACTTGAAACAACCAAAATTATAAACTGGGCCTGAAGCCTGTGGTTCCTAGCCCGGTGCGTGAGAGGAGCTTCCTGGGAGACTGGCCTCTGCTCTCGTGGTCTCTGGTGTGATCCCTGCCTTGTGGGATCCTGGCGCCAGAGTCTGGCTGAGTTCTTTCTCTTCGGTCCTCCTTGCAGGACGAGGCGCGGATCCAGAAGGTGACCAAGCGTCTGCACACTTTAGAGGAGGTTAATAACAACGTGAAGCTGCTCAGTGAGATGCTGCTTCATTACAGCAAAGAGGATTCTTCAGAGGCAGATAAAGAGCTCATGAAGGTAGGCCCCCTTTGAAGACGCTGCTGCACACCCAGTGGCCCCTGACTTAGGAATCAGCACTGCAGCTGGGTAGAGGGGCTGGCGCCCCCTTTTGACACGAGCCTTGACTTCTGCGCCCCGGGCGGAAGAGCTGCATGTGCACGCGAGTCTGTGTGTCTCTGAGACCCGATCTGTCCTTGGCTTCGCCTCCTGCAGAGAGCCCCCCATGTGCCCCTCAAGTGGTACCTCAGTCCTGGGTCCCAGATACTCTGAACTCTGAGCGCATGCCAGCAGGGAGGTGGGAAAAGGGATGTACCGCCCCTTGTCCACCTGGGGACCTCTGCACCTGTGCAGGGACTTGGGCGACGCAGCGTGGTGCCGGCTGGCGGCAGACGGCTCGTGCTCTCAGCGCGGCCCTGCCGGGCACTGACCGTGGTGGCGGGAGAGCCCGTGACGTTCTGAGCACCAGTGCTCAGTCAGATGACCTCCAAGGGAGCGCCGGTTTAGTCTGGGTCTCTTTCAGGAACTGTTTGATCGGTGCGAGAGTAAGAGGCGGACGTTATTCAAACTGGCCAGTGAGACAGAGGACAATGACAATAGTTTGGGTGAGTGGAAAAAGAAAGACTAGTTGACAAGGATGATGCAAGAATTGGATTTGTGAGGTGGGGCAGTTGTCAGGGCCAGGAGTGAGAAGTCTCCTTTCTGCTCCAGGGGACATCCTGCAGGCCAGTGACAACCTCTCCCGGGTCATCAACTCATATAAAACAATCGTTGAGGGGCAGATCATCAATGGTGAGGTGGCCACCTCAGCCCTGCCTGAAGGTACAGTGTTTCAGTCCCTTGTTCTGGACCCTCCAGACAGCCCAGTCCCCACCACCCAGCTGCAGCCTGAGGGGTCCTAAGCTGTTCCAAACGGTTCAGCTTCCCAGAGGTCAGGGGGTATGAACAGGGATTTCGCCACCTGCCTGCGGTTTTCTGTCTACCCGGCATGGATGCCCTTTGATTAGGCTTCCTGAAAGGCAGCTGCTAGAGTGGTTCCTAATTATTCCTGTCCCCTTCTGTTCACACATCCAGGAAACCACCACTCGAGTAACCAGGGCGCACTCATCGACCTGGCGGAGCTGGACGTACCAAGCAGCTCATCCCCAGTGTTGGTCCCGGCCCCCACCGCACCCTCGGGCATCCCTATCCTCCCTCCGCCCCCCCAGGCCTCCGGGCCCGGGTGCAGCCACTCCTCCAGCCAGGCCGAGGCCCCCACAGGGCCCAACAACGCAAGTGGCTCCCTCTGCTTGCTGGATGAGGAGCTTCTCTGCTTGGGTGAGTCTTGGAGGAGGCTGTAAAGGGTTTCCTCTAGCAGACAGATCTGGTAGAGGAGAAAGGGGCACGGAATGGGGAGGTGCACAGGTCGCCCCATGTGCAAGATGGGAAGGGAGTCAAGTTCAGTGTCCCTCAGGCTAACAGGGCAGCCTGTAGTGGACTTCGGGGTAGAAATGGTAGATCCAGGATCTTGCTCTGTTTCTGTTTCCCCTGAACCACTCTCGCCCCGGAAACATAAGGACTCCCCTCTGGAAGTTGCCTGGGAATACCCCAGCCCGGCGCCGCCTCATCCCAGCTGTCTCTGTTCGCAGGCCTCGCAGACCCAGCCCCCACCGCTCCTCCCAAAGAGGCAGCTGGAAACGGCCAGTGGCCCCTGTCCCAGGTGGGTGCACTGGTGACGTCGCTGAGATACTCCACTGCCTTGACTTACCACTTCTGACCTTTCTCGCCTAGTCCTCAGCTGTGGTTCGCTGCAGCCCCGCTGTCCTTCGTCCCTGGGGCCCTGTCCCCGGAGGGCTGTCCAGCGGGGTTGCAAAGGGACCGGGGTGGAGAGCCGGGGCCTCTGCGCACCCTCGCTCACTCGCACTTTTTACTCCCAATAGAACGAGCAGTCGGACCTGGACTTCTTCAGCCCCACATCGGGGACTGCGGTCCGTAGCCCCTCGGACGGGCCTGCCCTCCAGCCCTCAGCAGCCCCTGCCGGCAGCGCGCAGGCCCCACTGCCGCCCCCTTTCCCAGCTCCTGCGGCCCCAGCCAGTGCTTCTGCCCAGAAAGCAGCCTTTTTGTTCCCCGCTGGACTACCCCCAGCTTCAGCCCCAAAGGCCGAGCCCACAGCTCCTGGGTACCATGGTTCGGCTTTGGGCGACAGCACCCTGCAGAAGCTGGATGCCCTCGATCAGCTGCTAGAAGAAGCCAAAGCGTAATAAATGGGGGAGGGCGGGTAGAGGAGGGTTGGGCCTGGCCTGGGCAAACCCAGGGGGGTTGGGGATGTCCTCTTTCAGCCTGACCTGGGACTGGAACCCGGAAACTAGGGAGGGGTTGAGACCCAGTGTCAGGGCGGGGCACTTGATGAGGATTTGGCCCAGCGGCTATGCTCGGTCTCTGACCTCCCTTGTCCTGCCTCCTGCCCCGCAGGACCTCTGGCCTCGTGAAGCCTGTCGCCTCCAGCTTCTTCCCCACGGCCTCCACCCCTCCTCTGATCCCCACCAGCTCCTCGCCTAGGCCTTTCCTGCCATTCGCCACGGGGCCTGGCAGCCCTCTCTTCCAGTCACCTGCCTACCCGTCGCAGGGGAGCCCCGGGAAGGGGCCTGAGCTCTCCCTGGCCAGTGTCCATGTTCCCCTGGAATCTATCAAGCCCAGTAGGTGCTGGAGGACTGGACTGGGAGGGGAAGTGGGGCCCACAACTTGCAGCCTTGTGGGTGGGAAGAGGGGGGGCCGGTACAGGCCCTCGCTGGGGTCCTGTAGAGTCCGACGTGACCTGCTGCTCCTTTGTCTCGGCCATGGCTTGTTGCTGTGCGCCCTTGTGATGTTCTGATGGAGGCTCTTCCCCATACCCGTTTAGGGAGCGCCGCTCTCCCCGCTTGGCTGCAGTGGGCACTCCAGCGCTCTTCTGGGGTTGCTGCTCTTCTCCCCCACCCACACCCACGTGCTCCCTCCTCACAGGCAGCGCCCTTCCCGTGACCGCCTACGATAAAAACGGCTTCCGCATCCTCTTCCACTTTGCCAAGGAGTGCCCGCCAGGGCGGCCCGACGTGCTGGTGGTGGTCGTGTCCATGCTGAACACCGCGCCCCTGCCCATCAAGAGCATCGTGCTGCAGGCTGCGGTGCCCAAGGTGCTCCCGGGGCTCCCCCAGGCAGACGCTGCCTCTGCTGTGCGCGCTCCGTGTGGAGGGTCTCAGTGGCCCGCAGGCGGCAGGGTGTCCACTGTGACCACACTGGGTTCCGTCTCAGCGCCTGTTTCTCTTTCCTCCTTTAGTCAATGAAAGTGAAGCTGCAGCCACCGTCTGGGACAGAACTCTCTCCATTTAGCCCCATCCAGCCGCCTGCTGCTATCACCCAGGTCATGCTCCTGGCCAATCCCCTGAAGGTGAGCTGGGGGCCCCAGATTAGGACCCTGGGACCCCACCTCCCAACCACACGTGTCGCGGTGCTATAGCATTGACCCTGTCCCTACCCTGGTTCAGAGGTTGAGCAAGGGCGGGGGGCGGGGGGGCAGGGCCTGTTGACGCAGGCCTCGGGGGCGGAGGGGTCTCACGTGCTGCCCGTCTGTCGCAGGAGAAGGCAAGGCTTCGGTATAGGCTGACCTTCGCCCTGGGGGAGCAGCTGAGCACGGAGGTGGGTGAGGTGGACCAGTTCCCTCCTGTGGAGCAGTGGGGGAACCTATGACCCCAGAGGACACTGTCATCTCCACTTTGAAGCCCAGGCAGGTCCTGAGACAGGAGGGCTCTCGGAGTCCAGTCAGTCGTGCCCTGACCGCAGTGCTCTGAGCTTCGGCACGGGGCGGGGGCCCTGGGTGTTGCTGCCGGTGGTTGAGCTGCTGCTGTGATGGTCTCCTCTCTTTTGGCCCCTTAAAAGGACCCATTTTTATCTACCTGTGTGACTTGAAGTGGCCGTGCACTGTGGGGTGGTGGGTTGTGGCCCCGGACCCTGCACCATCCCCTGGGAACACGGGCCCAAGGCTTGAGTAGGTTTCCCCTCATGCTCGTGTCCCCCAGAGCCACAAGGGAGGAGGTCTCCGAAGAGATGGGGTGCCCTCAAGGACCATGTCCTCGCCCCTGCTGGCAGGCTGCTGCTCCTGCCTCCAGGAAGGGGGCAGAGCCCAGGGGTCCCCCACAGGCCTGGGCACAGCCAAAGGAGTTGGTGCGCTGTCTTCCCCAGGCAGTGCCGGCCGGAGGGCCACTGGATGATAAGTGTGTGCTTGTCCCTGGTGGTGGCAGGCTGTGTCCTATGGACATCTCAGCAGGACCTGGAACTCAGCCTATTAGAAACAAAACTGGGCCTCACAGCAGCCTAACAGAGGCTGGGCAAGAACGTGGAAGAGAACCAGCGTCTCCCCTTCTTGGGAAGCAGGGACCCAGAGCTTCCTGGGAAACCGTGTGCCTCACTGTGGGAACAGGCCGGCCTACTCACTACCTCTTGCTTGGCATGAAGTTAACTGCTGTCTTGCCCTTGGAGTCTCTGAAGGGAGGGCACCCCCTGCCTTGGCACCCCTCTGCCCTGCCCCCCATGATGGGCTGTGGAATGGTAAGCAGTCAGGCTGGCATGAGGCCTCGGGGCAGGCATCTTGCACTCGGCTTAGCTGCTGCCCAGCTGCTGAAGGGCGCTGTCAGCGAGATGTTGGGTCTGGAGGTGGTGAGATTGGGGCTGTGCTTGCATTGAGTCACCAGACCCTATTGCTTCAACAGCGCTTGCCCCCGCTTGCTTGTGTCTGACTCCAGGCCTCCCGGGGCAGCGGGACTGAGCACCGCCGGCTGGGGAAGGGGTGCGCAGCGCACAGGAGCCCAGCTGGACAGGCTCAGAGCCTTCTGCAGGGGAAGGTGGCACAAGCCTTGTTCCCTGGCCCCTCTCTGCTCCTTGCCAGGCTTCATGCCTTTATCTGGAGGTTGCCTTCCTCTTCCCTCCCATCTTTAGCAAGCAGGTTTCACTGCTTCATTAGGACAGGTCAAAAGTGAATTGATTTCACTACATAAGGAATAATCCAAAAGCCTTCCAGAGACCGGCTGCCGCAGCCCTGGAAAAGTCTATGGGATTACTACATGGAAACGTACCTTTATAATAAGCTTTAGACATTAAAATTATTTATGAGTGTTACTGTTGAGGTCACTGTTTTGTGACAATTATATCGGACATACCAACTCTGCTGCTCTTATTTTGCTGCATGTTAAATAAAGTCATTTTCACCCACTTGGAATCTAATAGACACCATTTGCCCCACGAGGTGGGAGAAGCGTCACTTACAAATTCCAAATGTAGACAGCACCTATATTTTTGTTAAGTGCAGGTTCCTGGACCTTTTCCTTTTTTAGAGGAGATAACAGGAGAGTCAACAGATCAGTGTTACAGGTGACTAAGGTGAGGTCAGCTTTCAGAAGCACAAGCAAACGCCTCAGGGCTCCTGTCTGCTTTCGATTACAGGCAGGCGGCCACTGCACTCACCGTTTACTTGTGGGGGCCCCTTTTCTTCTAAGGAGAAAAGGATGTTCCACATCAAAGGACATGACAAGCATTTTCTTATTTTTACCACATCAGGTTCACTGGGGAGGTAGATAAAAACTTTCTAGCTAAAATCTGTAGGAACTTGGAAAACATTTATTCTTCTAAAAACATATATACATCGCCATACGAAGATGCCATGCTGTAGCCGCTCTTGCTGAGCCTCAGGAGCCTTCCAGCGAGCCCTCTTTTACAATTGCCCGAGCCAGGTTCCGCGCAAGAGACAGTCTCAGCATTTCCACCTTTGTGGTCTCTATGTCATCATCCTAAGAGCAAAGAGAGGTGGCATGAGGTACAGCTGGAAGAGATCCTTCTTTAAAGCTCCCAGGATTCTATCTGTCCAAAGGCAAATAGAAGCATTTAACATTCAGCAACAGCTTCCAAAAAGCTCTAAATGTAAGAGCTGAATGCGAAGGACCATCGCAACTGATTAACAAGACGGAAAAATACAGAGATCAGGACACTAGAACCACCCCAGTTTTTCCTTAAAAGTTGGTGTGTCAGTTACAGGTTAAGAGAGAGCATAAGAGCCCAGGCTGGTGTGGCTCATTGGATTGAGTGGGGCCTATGAACCAAAAGGTTGCCGGTTCAATTCCCAGTCAGGGCACATGCCTGGGTTGTGGGCCAGGCTACCAGTAAGGGGCATATGAGAGGCAATCACACATTGATGTTTCCTCTTCCTCCCTTCCCCTCTAAAGAGAGTAGTGTAAGACACTGAGTTTACAAGGAGCCAGCATTTGTGGGATGGGTGGAGGGAGCCTTTTCTCCTTGCCACTGAAACCAACCCAGAACCTACAGTGACCTGCAATTGCGGGGCATCAGGCTCTCCATGCACTGGTCTTCCTGAAGTCAGGTCCTCCAGGCATCTCAGCAGCTCGTATGTTTGATCCGCTGAAAAAATCACCTAAAGGGGAGAGAGGTTGCTTCACTGAGCTGCCCCCAGCCACGGCTTAACTGGTTTGGGCCTGGGCCCCAGCTCAGAGATGGGTCTTCCTCAACAAGCCCTGGGCGGGGGGCGGGGCTTTGTATATGCAGCCCTCACTCCCAGCCCTGGGCTGGGCTTGGTCAGTAAGCAGCTGCCTCACTTCAAATTACATAGCTTTTCTTGTGTGGACGTTAGTTCCAGAGTGGGCGCTGTAGGGAGCCTACCTAGGAGATGCCGGGTGTTGGCGCATCTGTACCAGCTGCAGAAGGAAGCAGTGTCAGGGACTAGAGGACACAGGGAAGAAGGCATTGTGGGCGCCGCATGTACCTGTTTCTGTTCCAGAAGGGGTAGGGCATCTGTGAGGAGTGTCATCCAGAAAGACCGTGGGGCAATCTGAGAGGTCATCAGTGACAGAAGAAGAGAAGCTGCATCAACAAAACGCTTATCCTCATATAATCGGTGGAATTCACGATACTTTCCTATTGAGAAAATAGCACTAGGTCACTTCTGACCCTAAACGGGAAAACAGATCCCAGACCAACCATTCCACAGAGTAGATTCTCCCAAAGCTGTAACCGACTCAGACCAATGAGATCACAAATGGATTCAAATCCCACCCTTCAAAGAGACTCCAATCAGCCAAACCCAAGAGAACGTCAGCATTAAAATAAGTCACGGGTTACAACAAACTAACGAACCCACAAGTCCATTACTGATGTGAATAAAAGCGTAAACGGACATGGGGAAAGCCTTCCATACGGTGGAATGACAACTAAAACACAAGGAGTGAGAGCCAGAAAATTGCAGTAGCTACTAAAATTAGTGGTGAGAGTTTAATGAGGAATAAGACATTACATAATTCCAAAGCATCTCTCCACAAATTACCAAATCCAAGGGAAAGTCTTTGTTGCACAGAGAAGACACTGGGCGGGCGCCCCTTTCACCAAACGAGCAAAGTGAACGCCACCAACAAGGGCACACCCAGCACTGGGGGCATGTTGCTGCGGTACCTGACACAAGGCGACATCAGGTAAAGCCATACTGAGGGCACTACACGAGAGCCGAACTGACTTCAAAATGTCAAGGTCAAGAAGCACCAAGAAAAGCAGAGGCACTTAAAAAGATACGACAAAATTTGTAAACCTGAACTCAAGAAAGGACATCTCTGGGACAGCTGTCAAAATGTGAACTGTGGATTAGATGAGACTTGTATCAACACTGAATCTGGAGGGTTCTCACAGATGCAGTTATGTAAGAGAATGGTCTTAGGAAATACGTGCTCAAGTATTCATGGGGAAAGGGAAACCGTTCCCCCAGCTTGCTTTCAAATTGTTCCCCCAAAACCTCAACTGACTGAGAATCATAAAACATAAGGCAAAATGTAAAAGACTCATGAATATGGGTAAAGTTTATGTGACAGTTCCTTATTCCTTACACTACTTTTGCAACTTTTTTCTAAGTTTGAAATTACTGGAAAAGAAAATATTACTAAAAAATAAGCTTTGCAGAGCCTGGCCCACAGGGTTCTACGTGGTTTGCAGTTTGGGTTTAACAGAAGGGAAACACTGGAGACGTCTAGAACAGTCCCTCCAATCTCCACAGCTGCCCCTTTGTGCCAGAAGTTTGGGAGGCAGAGCCCGGAGACTCACCCAAGAACGTCAGTCGGTCGCTGAGCATCATGGCCGGCCCCAGGTTGTCAATGAGATCCAAATCGGAGAAGCAGCCTCGCTCACAGTAGTCCCTGAGGAACCTGCAATGCCAGGCCTGGGCATCAGAGCAGGGGTCCCAGGCCCACCTCTCCAGCCTCCCAACTTCCCAGACATTCCTCAGGAAGCCGACTCTGGTCGAACCCACCTGTCTGATACCAGCGTGGCAAAGGCAGCATCTTTGGCTCGAATGCTCCAGGAGAGGGCGGAGCCCAGGCGGTTGTTGCGGACAGCTTTCATGGCTAAGATCTTACAAATGCTGCGAACTTTGCAGGAAGAAAATGCAAAGGCAAACCCTTCGCCCTGCAGTACAGATCCCTCCATCCCTAAACCCTCTGGGATGGCAGCGGCCTGCCCACCTCCTCTCAGCTTCCCACAGCCTGCCCCACAGTCTCCAAGCACAGCTTGGTCAGAACTGGGCACTCGGAGTTACACGCTGCCTCCGACTGGGGACAGTTTTTTTTTTTATTTTTTTTTTGGGGACAGTTTTGAACCACCCTGGCAGGACTGGCCTTTGTGAGCTAATTTGACCTTGGGGTGGCACTAAGATACGTATTTCTCCCCACAGATCAACCCTTCCATTATCTGTCCAGGTGCCAAAAATCCTATCAGGTGCCTCGGGAGAGTACCTTAGGTTCTCCTCTCCCCACAGTGAGGAGAGATGGGGCTGACTGCTCTCCCCGAGCCTTCCCTGGCCCGGCTTCCCCGGCCAGCCTTGGCTAGTGACCGCAGGTAAACTCAAAGCTGACCCCAGCCCTGACCCCTTAGACTAAATACGGGTGAGGTGGGTTGGGCAGTTCCTAAAACGGCAACATGCTGGATTGCTCTGAGGTCCCCAAGGATCCCTAGCTCGCTGTCCCTCCCCGGTCATGTCCTTGGCACCCCCTGCCTGGCTCCCCTCCAGCCTGGCTGGCATGGCGTGAACACAGAGGGCCGTGCGGGGAGAAGGGCCCACTCACCTTGCTCAGTCATCTGCCGCTGCTCACAAATCCGGAGCACCTTGAGGGCTTTCTGCTCAGTGCTCAGAGGGATGCGCTCGATGTGCATCTCCAAGGAAACTCGGCCCAGCTCAGGGCAGTAGTCAAAGTAATCCACCCCCAGCTGCCACAGGCTGCAAACGAAGGTCCGAGGAGAAGACACACGAGGGCATGAGGAGTCGGGTGCTGCCGTGGAGCTCTGGGATGACGGCCACGATGGCTCATCTCCAGACCACTGCAGCATTCAGGGAACCACACTGGAGAGAGTGCAGTCCGAGCTCCAATGGCACCCACATACTGAAGAGCACCCTGCTGTGGTCCCCTGGGTCCTTCCTACCTGTGATGAGCGAACAGTCCCGAGGCATATTCTAGCAGGAGGAACTCTCTCATGTTGGATCCAAAGCTGGAATAGAACGTAACATGAGGCCAAGACTCCTGATCTGTTCCATTCAGGGCCCCCTTGTGCAGCCCAACATCCCTTCCAGGAATTCAGCCCACCCCTCCAGGGCCTGGGTGGTGGGGAGAAAAGGCCAGGCGAGGCCCTGCACACTTACTAGAGGTTGTGCGACTGGAGGAGTTTGCAGTGATCCAGCAGGTCGGTCAGATGGGCCACAAACCACCAGTTGCTTAGGGCGATACTGTGGGTTCAGTCAGCAAGGCAAGGAGGAAAAGTGAGATGCCGTGGCCCACATGAGTGGGGCACGGGCAGGAGCCCCCCATGTCCTTCGCTTAGAAAGAATGAGAGGAAATTAAAAGAAAGGTATGGGAGGGACAGTGATGAGCCAGGGACTGTTTGGGAGTACCGAGTGAGAAGCTTCTCCTTTCTATGCGGGGACTAACAAGGGACACCCAGGAGGTCAACCCCCAAAGCAGCAGCCAATGATGTATTTCTATGGGGAATGTTACCCAGCGAGTTAAAATCCAGGGATCCATCACATGCAGAGAAGGTGGACGCAGAATGATGTACAAACACTGGTGGTTTCTGATGCTCAATGAAACACGGAATTCAGGAGTGTCTTATTTCATTTGCATGTGCTGATGTTTCTAATCATGTACCTAGCTGTTGATTAGTGTACTCTGTGGATATAACTATATACATGTGATTTCATTTCAAAAACCATCTTGTGTTTAGGTATCTATGAATACTTTGTATAAAGGAGTTGTCTTTTGTTCAATTACGTGATTTATAATTGTATTGTGTATGTAAAGTGACACACAGTGAAGGTCAGAAGTTGTTCTCCACCCTGGATGGGTCTCTCAATTCATTAAGAGCGTCATCTCGATAGGCTAAGGTTCAATCTCTGGTCAGGACACATACAAGAATCAACCAATGAATGCACAAGTTAAGTGGAACAAAGAAACTGATGTTTATTTCTCTCTCTCAAAAAATTAAAAAATTAAAAAATAATAATAGATGAAATCAGAAATGACCATTCCTAAGGAAAAATAAAGTAGGATATAATCAAGAAAGTGCAAACTAAGATGTAAGAAACAAGTCGCCTTCTCACATATACAGATACATGCACATCCCCGCCCCTCTG